AGGAGGAGAGGTGATTCTGGAAATCTTGAAGCAGGAGTTGGGCAGGATAAGTCTGCAGAAAGGTGGAGAGTTTAGACTGCATATGAAGTTAACTGGGCTCTTCATGTGTTGTTATGTTGGAAACCTTGCAAAGTGAGGGCAGACATACCTGAACCAATAAACAATGTTCATATTTGTAGTTCAGAAGTTGCCTCAGTTAGTAGCCATTCAGAAATAAATTTGACTATGTACTATACTTTTATATACCTTTTAATTTAATTTGAATTGGATTTATAAAAACAACTTAGGAGTTGATTTAACTTTTTAAAGGGTTCCTGTAGTATGCTTCAACACATTTTGTTAATAGTAATTGCAGTTTTAAAAATTCATTTTAACCAGTTTTTCAAGAATCCATGCATTGTGAAATGCAAGATAAGAACCAAGTTCAAATTACTCAATTTTAAAAGAACACACTGAAAAAACGTTTTCTCATGTCAGCTACCTGAATTGTAATACATTTCAGAAAACACTGATTTGGCGCTTGCCAAGTTTCACCTCCACCTTCATTTGCAGTTTTTTAGGGCACATTTGTAATGAGGTTATAGCTAATATACCTTTAAGGAATAGTATATCCAAACCAAAATGGCTGTTTCCCTTTTATTAAAGATCATAGAAGAAGATGCTGCTCTTGTAGAAATAGGACCTCGTTTTGTCTTAAATCTCATAAAGATTTTCCAAGGAAGTTTTGGAGGACCAACTTTGTATGAAAATCCTCACTACCAGTCACCAAACATGGTAAGCTGTTTTTGTTGGTTAGTGGTCTTTGATGACCCAAAACTCTTTGGCCAAAATAATTCTGTCAAGTAATTACTATTCTGTTAACTATGAGACTAACTGAATTTGATTTTTGCTGCACACAGTCTTGCAAATTACTACTTTTTTTTAATGACATGGGGTGAAGGGAAATAGGTTGATAAGTTACTGTTCTTGCCATATATAAAATGTTTATTTGTATTTTAAAAGTATCTAATACTTTTTTGTTTCTAGCATCGGCGTGTCATAAGATCCATCACAGCTGCAAAATACAAAGAGAAACAGCAAGTTAAAGATGTGCAGAAACTGAGAAAGAAAGAACCAAAGACTATTCTTCCACATGATCCCACTGCAGATGTTTTTGTCATACCAGCTGAGGAAAAAACAATAGAAATACAGTGGGTCAAACCGGAGCCAAAAGTTGATTTGAAAGCAAGAAAGAAAAGGGTTTACAAAAGGCAAAGAAAAATGAAACAGAAGGTGAACAGGGGGAATGCAAAATGAATCAATGGATAACTAATTGGTTTTTCAATTACTTTATATTTATTTTGTATTCATTGTGTAAATACTTTCATTATCCAGGACTACCTTATATCTAAGTAGTGTAGCATTTAAAAGAAAGAAAACAAATAAAATCTTGTGGCTTCAGTGATGTATGGGTTTTTCTAAATAAAATAACGCCAGAGGTCATTAATTTCTGTTTTACTTTTGAAAGCTTATTTGGTATTACCAAAAATTTAGAACACTTAAGCCTGCTCTCTTGGATTAAAACTTTTGGTTTAGCAAGGCTGAAATTCAGAGACTTATTGGGTCATTATTACTTGTAAAACAAAGCATTAGGTACTTTGAGAACATAGTTCTGGGTAAAGTGGGGGTAGACTGGTAGAAAGGAAAGTGTTTTTCTGAGGTTTGAGTCCCTGATTCACCAATTAATGAGACCTTGGAAAAGTCAACCTCTGATCTTGTTTTCTCACTTCAAAAAAGTACAATAAAAATTCTTCGGTTTTGAGAATCAAATGAGTTAATACATGTGTTGAAAGCATGTTGTAAATTACACATTTATTTTAGAAACTGGGTATAAATTACTTA